ACCAACCAAAGGCAAGTGGAAACTACCACTGCACATCAGAATTTGACAACCAACTCAGTTTAAGATAACTGGCATAAACATTGTTGATCTAAAATTGTAATTGCCCAAAAGTGTGACTGTGCAGTCGGATCTTAACTTCTGTAATAGTGTGAGATTGCAAATCCTAATCCTCCGCTATTAATGGTATGGCACAGGATGATGGTAAAATATCATGTAAAAATAACAGTGGCAGGTAAGTTTATTATTAGATATATTAGATTTAAAAAATAGACAAATTGGAGAAGCAAAGGCTATTCATGCTAAACAGAAATGGTCATTCATTTAACAATTTTGAACTCACAAATGAAAATAGAGGATAAGAAGCAAACAAAAATACATTTACTTTTACTTAATGCAACAGAAAAGAAAAAAAAAAATACTGGTGAAGTACAACACAGGCACAAGGAAGACAATGTACATGCAAACTGTGAAGGAAAAGTTCAATGAAGAATCAATGGAGCAATACTTATGGTATATTATGTAAGTCAGAGACTAAAATAACTTCTAATATAATTGAGGCAAGATGATGCTCTGTCCCCATTTCTTTTCAACTCTGCCCTGGAGAAAATTATAACAAAATTTAAAAAAAAAAAGAGTGTACTATAGGAGAAACTACAAAAATATGTTGCTATGCAAATGACGTTGATATCGATGAAGAAAATGAACTAGAGACTGTAAAAACATTGACTCTCTTAAAAGAAGCAGCTCACAAAATTTGACTAGTTATCAATCAAGATAAGACAGATTATATGATAACAACAAGACAGGAAAAGGATGTAAACTCCGGCCATATATGAGTCGATAATGTGAAATCAAATGAACGGAAACACATAAGTACTTGGGTGCAAACTTGAACTGCTCCGAGAAGAAATATAATCTAGAATACAATCTGGAAATAAAGTATACTATGCCTTTCAATATCTGCTAAAGTCAAAGTCTCTATCTCGAACAACAAGATCAAAATATATAAAATGTTGATAAGACCAGTCGTTTTATATGGCTCTGAAACTTGGAGCACTACTAAAAGGGATGAAGCCTTATTACAAATTTTTGAAAATAAATTCTTACAACGAATCATCGCACCCATCAAAGAAGATGCAAACAGTGGGGGAATGAAGGAGCAACAATGAAATGCATTATCTGTTTAAATCACCACTGATCACTGGCATCATAAGATCTAACAGACTAAAATAACTGTCAATTTGCAGGCACTTAATTTATGTCTAAGCCCTGCTTCTCTGAAGTCATTGAATCTATACTGGTCCATTGATTATCCATACATTTTTCCAGGAGAGTTGTACCAGTAAGTCTATTAGCTTGTTATTTTACTCTTACACATGCATACTCTTGGCACACATACAAAAAAGTGGTTCCTGTTCTAGATTCAATAGTCTCAAAATGTTATTTTACAGAAGTAAAAGCGATCAACCTGACATTGACTTTTGTATTGTTTATGTATGAATGAATGAAGAATTGACATTCCTACACTCGGGACATTCCTACAACTGCTCCAACTCTTTCTACAGATACCTAAGCAGAGTTGATATTCTAATAGTACCTGTTGCCACCTGATTAAAAGTCTGCCTATCTTTTCCTTCTCAATGCTGAACAAGTTTCAGACCTCATGCTCATTACCCCACTGAATTAGCTTGTCAGTGAATGGATACTCTATTTTATTGCAGTCCACTTGATGCGAGACAGCGTTCACCCTTCAACTTTATCATAATGTAGCTCACCATCCAGAGGAGTGGCAGCAGCCAATCTTTCAGCCTGCTAAATGTCCCAGACAGAAAATCCATGATATGCTCCAGATCAGAGTCTTATCAGGCCACTATGCCTACAGAACACTAGTCTCTATTTTGTTTATGGAGATATCTGTGTGTAATGAAACAGATCCTCTGCAAACCAATCAAACCATGGGATCTGTATCTCATTTCTACAATTCTTGTGCATGGATAAAAATATACAAGATCTTATGTTAATGATACACATGTTAGAAATGCCTTGACCAATGAAACAGTAACGAGCAGCTTTAAACTGATGGCTGCACTGAAAACATTTTGACATTTGAAATCCTATCCACATGAAACAAGTGAGATTCAGGTATTCACACACAGGGAATCTTTCCAGTGCTCTGTAATTTATATACTGTGCTAAGATGTTCCCAAATTGACCTAAACAAAGTAAATCTTAGCAATAATGGACAATTTGAAATGAAATGAAGATACATCTGATATCAAATCATTTTCATCCCAGTGTGGGTTCCGGGGCCCCACTATAAAGAAAACAAGAATAGACCCACTGCCTCCCCAACAAGCATGACGTAGGAGTTGACTAATTGGGGGCTGCCTTCAAAGTCAGAGTGTATCTGACCAACTGGCAAGGAACAACCAACTGCATACAAATAAGCCAGTAAAACTGATGTACACGCAAAACTCAGGCCCTGGCACAAAGCCAAAGTCCAGATGGATGAACAACCAGGACTTTGCCCCACAGCTTACAGCCGGCGAACAAAGAATAAAAAGAAGAATTCATTTAAACAAATCTTAGCACTTGCCTTTATAAGTGTATGGGACACATGAAGTAACTAATAAACATACAATGCATGCCTTGCTGCAGAATGAATACTACAACACACACAAAAATAAGCATAGGTAAGCATAGGATGCACTGCCTGGAACAGCGTGACGCATTCGAAAGTAAACTCATCCATGCAAATGCCTAACACATATAATGATGTCCTGCATACAATGTCAATAAATGCAACCTATTATTTTTAATACTCTGGAGGTTAAAAACAATCTGACTGATATTACAGGTGTATATTAGTGTATGAGAACTTACATGTTTACAATGTTTTCTTCTGTGTGAAATAGAAACCATTTGTCAAATTAAATTAAAGAGACCAAGGTAGGATTTTTTTTTTAGGTCATTAATATATGTAGATAAAAAATGTTATGGAAACCAAAATACTTGGGCCATATTACATGTTACAAAAAAAAAAAATAATAATACTAAACATCCAAACAAGCAAGCAACCAACCAAGCAATGAAGCAGCCACCCAACCAAGTAACAAAGTCTCAGCCATCAATGGAATCCCATTTGCAGACACTAGCAAAAGTACACCCTTCTGAACTGCTAGTTTGTGCTCAAGAACATAAATGTATATTATCTTCACATTTGACAACAGTTTTTACAAAAACATAGCCATTATTTCAACATCTTCACATACAATGTTACAATTAGTTAACTTATAAATACCAAACACAACATCACCAACAACACATAAATAAAAATTAAACAATTTGATAAAATGTAAATAATACCAAATAGTCCAAATAAATGTTTCCCCATTCAAAAACTTTCTCGTTCTTGATAACAAGGGGTCTGCTGAGAACAGGAATGTATTCCTTGGAGAAAGACAAGAGGTTAGGGTCAGATATCTGCTGTTTGATATCAAAACCTTGGACTACTGATCAAGAATAAAAGCAGGTTAGGTTGAACTTATATATGTTTGTATTACCTACTCTAATCAGCATAAGTTAAATTGTAGCACTCCATGTGGCACTGGTCAACCTTCTGTCTCGTGTACTTTCAATCAACACTGACACAGATGATCCTCCATGCCAAGATGTTAAACTGTCCACCATCTTGTCTCTTGGTTGCCCTCTGACTCTCCTCCTCTCCAGCTTTCCTTCTGTCATGATATACTCCAGTTTTCTCCTTCTCATCACATGACTGCTAAATTGTCTACAACTGGGATCAAACCTGGCACCTCGGAATTATGAAGCATTTTCCCCTAATCACGGAAGGGAAGATAACAGAGAGATAATAACTGCCTATACAAAAGAGTTGACTGGAAGTAGACCATGTGGCATACTAGGAAGACAGTGACGATACAATTTTCAGACAGAACTAGGAACACTTAGAAATCATCAATTGGAGAGAGAAGGCTAACCACAGAGATTAATGGAGGCGGATGATATCTAGAGCAATGCACCTCGAAGGCTCAGAATGATGGAGAAGTTCTTTAAGTTAAAGGAATATGGCTTAGCAAGTGGTCACTTTACACTACTTATTTGAAAGTGAATCTTGGAATGTCAGTGAAAAAATTAAGAAGAATTTGGAAGCAACAGAAATGTGGTTTCAGAGACGAATGTTACGAATACTTTGGACAGCGAGAGTAACTAACAACAATTGTTTGAAGAAGCTATTGAAAGTAAATCTATACAACAATAAGAAGGAGACAAACACTGTTCCTTGGCCACATAGAGAGACACTGGAAAATATTGTGACAACTGGAAACAACAGTGGATAGAGGGGTAGATGCAGACCAAGAGAGATGATGCTGGATGCACTGAAATAACAGCATGGAGGGATATCATCAAGAGAGCTGTTCCAGGCAACCAGGGACCATCATCTGTGAAGATGCATGTGCGCCTATGCCAACTGGCAGGGCACACAATGATGATGATTTGAAAGTGGTGCATTCATGACTCCTATCAACTGTATCTCTCCATCAGTATCTGCTGAGAAACCTACTGGTAATGAAAGAGTTAAAAGTGGATAGTGATGGAAGTCATGTGGTATATTCCCTAGAAGGGATGGATATTAGGAATTTTCTAAGATTCCTAGAGAAACCAGCAATGATTAACTTCTTTTTCTTCTTCTGCATTCAAGTTGTAAATATGTTGTGGCCACTTACAGCATGGCTGCGATATTTGCATCTTTTGGCCAACATATCCAACTTCTGCTGGAATCGCTGCAATGTTAGCCTTCCCATGAATGACAAACAAAACTCTGTTTTAAGCCCCCATAAGCGAACAAAATTCCCCTCAAAGAATAAATCAAATTGATATAAAAACACTGGTGGTATAAAATGCAACCTCCCACCACCAAACATTCTCAAGACACCCAAAGCAGCAAAAGAGGAAGTGAAGAAGACCACCACCATATATACCGAGTCATGAACATAGTAGGCTTCTCTGTGAGTGCTGGTCCAGTGGATAAATTTGGCACTGGCTAATGCTAGCGGCCCATCCAAGATGCTCATGAAGTCCTATGGTTTACAATATAAAATGAGGAACAAACTTGCATACATATTAATAGCCACTGTTCTTCCTAACTCTTTCAGTACCAAACACAACCCAGAATACATTTCTTGATGTTTCCAAAGATAATATCATGTTCTCACAGACAGTTGCTATATACAATGTTTTGTATCTGAATACTGAGTTGAACCACTTCTGTACTACTGTGGCTCTGTTCAACTCCTTCAGACCAAACTGTGTGAGGTGCATGCATGTGGTGTGTTCGTGTGTGATGTGTGTGGGTGAGTGTGTGTGTATTGGGTTGCTTTAAGCTCAAATCTTTGGCATATAAGGAGCTAAAAAATGTTTGATACTGAAAGAGTTTAGATTAAAGATACAGCAAAGGTTACTATACTTGACAAGCAGCCCAATGGTCATAGATTTAGAACCCCACTGAGGCAGATTTGTTTAACCTTGGTTGCCATGGTTTTCTTCTTTTTTTTCTTCTTCCCTTTATTCCCCAATGGAGCACAGGTCCTTAACCATACCAGACCGCTGGACCGGTTTTCCGGGAATTTTATAACTGTTCTCTATGCCGCTGGCCCTAATTTTTGGCTATTGGCATAGTACGTGAGAAAGATGCGTCACTGACTAAAAATAACCAACAAATCGTCGTCAGTCAGCTTAGTTAGACATTGCAAATGGCTTCCCCGTGTGTGTGAATCAATTTTGTGTGTTTTAACGTGAAAATATTCGGAAAATTCAGAATGAAGCGAGCGGCTGATGAACTAAGTTCTAGGCTTTTCAACTGTGAAAAGCCTAGAACTTAGTTCATCAGCCGCTCGCTTCATTCTGAATTTTCCGAATATTTTCACGTTTTTGGTTTATTCAGACACTGTGATACATATATACATATACATATACATATATATATATATATATATATATATATATATATATATATATATATATATATATATATATATATATATATATATATATATACATATATACACATATATATACATATATATACACACATATATATACATATATATACACATATATATACATATATATACACATATATATACACATATATATACATATATACACATATATATACATATATACACATATATATACATATATATACATATATATACATATATATACATATATACACATATATATATACATATATATACATATATACACACATATATATACATATATATATACATATATATATACATATATATATATATATATATATATATATATATATATATATATATATATATATATATATATATATATATATATATATATATATATATATATATATATATATTCATTATCTTTGATAATTTCATAAAGAGTACGTTCTTGAAGTGACACTGTCAGTGAGAGCGCGAATGATGAAAAAAATCTTTAAAATTTTCAATCTTGAAATAGATCAACAGTAGGAGGAAGGGGTGTGTCCATCAAACGGCAACATCTGGAGTTCACTTTTTGAAACAAAGCTGATCCTGATGAGTAAATTCGCACACAAACGTGGAATATTGGCGTTAGATAAAAGGTAAGCCTATTTTCTACAATGTCTCCAAGTTTCATCAAATTCTAGCCACTCGTTTGCATGTAACTAATATTTTTGTATATCATGTTGGTTTTTTCGTGGTAATGCTCAGGAGCTCAGGTTATAGGGACAGTTAGGTTCAGGGCCTTAGGTCTGGTAGGGTTAACTAACTCATGCCAGGCTGTCCCATCTTTTGCTATCGCCTGCAGCTGACCCCATGACCTCCTTATCTTTTTAATTTCGCCCTTTAGCTCCATTCTCCATGTGTTTTTTGGTCTGTCCTTATTTCTTTGCTCCTGTGGGTCCCAGTGTAAAGTCCTATTTTTTTTCCTCTTTTAAATTTTGAGGAATTGTTTATTCAGTTGAACTAAATTAAAATTCTGTAGAACTGTTTCAGCTGAAAACAGAGCTGATTTACAACAAGTGCTAGATATTGTAGGGATGGAAAGTGCTAAGAAAGGACTTTCCTTAAATAATAAATAAAACACAGAAGTAATGGTTATATCAAAGAAGATAACGCGACACTGTGATATCTCAATTACAGGAAAAAAGCTTAAACAAGTCAAAAAATTCAAATATCTAGGAACAGTCATCTCATCAGATGGAAAATGTGTAACAGAGATTAAAAGCAGAATAGGTCGAGCGAAGGCAGCATTTTAGAAAATGAAAAATCTGAAATAAGTCTCTCTCATTTAATGTCAGAAAGAGAGTGCTAAAATGTTATATAGAACCTGTTCTGCTGTATGGCAGCGAATCTTGGAATGTTAGTGAACAAATTAAGAAAAATTTAGAAGCAACTGAGATGTGGTTTCTGAGTTTAAATGTTATGAATACCTTGGACGGCCAGAGTAACTAACAACAATTGTTTGAAGTAAGCAAATAAAAGTAGATCTCTATATACAACAATAAGAAGGAGACAAACACTGTTCTTTGGCCACATAATGTGAAGAGAGGCATTGGAAAATTTCGTGACAACTGGAAAGATCAGTGGAAAAAGGGATAGAGGCAGACCAAGAGAGACGATGCTGAATGGGCTGAAACGATGGCATGGAGGGATATCATCAAGAGAGCTGGTCCATGCAACCAGGGATCATGATCTGTGGAGATGCATGAGCTCCTACGCCAACTGGCTAGGCATATAATGATGAGGAGAACTGTTTTATTAATTTATGAACATTTTCATTTACTGTTTAATTTTCCTTCTTTAAAGGACAGTACAGGTTGTCATTTTCTGTTAAAAATATACATTTGACAGGAGCCTGTCCTTTAAGGACCATGTGGAGAGTGTTGTGACAAGATGCCAAAAAAAAACTTGGTGCACTTAAGACTATGGCTGCAATTGACATTGAGCAGAGAATGCTTTTCACACTATATCAGCACCTGATCCTGTCAGTGGTTGATTATGGCCTGGGAATGCTTACCGTCTAAAAGAGCCAGATGGACAAACTAGAGCGCATACAGACAACAGCTATGCTGGTCATTCTGTGTTGCACCAGAGACACCCCAGTGGTGTGTATGCGATACATCCTTGGTTTGCCGACTGTTGCAGGTAGGCACAAGGTGCTGCAGGTGAAGTCATTTCTCAGGGTAGCTGCAGACACAGACCACCCTTTGCACGAAGCTCGGGGTGCAGTTAAGGGTCAGCGGCTGATAAGAGGGAAGTCATGGATGGCTCAGGCAACAGACACATTCAGACAGGTTTGCATCCTTGATAATATTAGACAAGGAGAGGAGTGGATCAAAGTGCCACCTGAACAGTCAGACTTGTGTAGGGTCATAATCACACTGACACAGGAATGCAGACTGGCCAGCAGGTGCCACAGAGGTGGAAATTCAGCAATTAATTAAAGATAATGCTCGCTCAGAAGATTTTATCATTTACACAGACGGTTCAGTGTCAAGAGGCAATAGAAGTGCTTGGGGTTTCTTAGCAAAAGTTAATGGTCAACGTTTGGTGCAGGAGAGCCTAGCATATGATACCACAACATCTAGCTTAAGAATGGAGGTGGAGGTTGTCACTGCAGCTCTCCGCTGGCTAGAGAACACGACACACATACACATCATGATTGTAATTGACTCAGAAAGCATGCTGAGGAAGATCAGGACAGGCATGCTTTGTGCAGAGTGGCATGCCTTGCTGCGGAGGACACGGGTGAGGAGTATTGTCTGGATTTTTTTTACCAGGTTATGCCGGTGTGTTGGGAAATGAACAGGCGGACAGACTGGCTGGCTCTGCACAGCTTGGTGGAATACTGATGCATGATAAGGCAGACGTGGTTAGTGCCTTGTGGGAGAGCTTGTACAGGTCGGAGGAACAGATTGATCACCACGGTGTGGTGAGATTGATGCAGTTGGGAGTGACGAGAGGTTCTGGCAGATGCTCGAGGCTCAGAGGAAAGGCAAGACGGACATTTAATCAGAATGCTACTGGCACCATGGGTATCGGAACTCTTTACTGGCTGCTGAAGATGGGGATGGAGTGCTTATGGGAATGCCCCGAGTGCTGTGATGTCGGTTCTTGAATCAAATCAAATCAGAAGCAACAGATGAAATGTGTTACCTGGACTCTTGCTCTGATGGCTCCCATAGCAGGTATCTGTGAGAAATAGCCTGAAGAAACAAACAACAGCACTGACATCATGACAACAATGTTTGAACAATATTAGCCTACCTGTTCTATTTTCTAGTGAAATGTTTATGTATATGAAAGTATGAAATTGGAAACAGTATCATTATGTGAATTCTCTTGCCTGGCCTGGGACTTATCTGCCCATTTTAATCCCATTAAATATAAATAATATGGACACAAACTAAACACAACAAGCCTCTAAATATCCTTCCTTTATCTATGTCTTCATTAATCTCCGCAATATTCTAGGCGTTCTATCAATATTCCTTTACATCACTGTCTTAGCCCATCCAACAGTGTCTCTTCTAACGCTGATCTTTTTGGTCACAGCAATGGTCTCCAGTGCCTCTCGTCACAGAACATGACTAAAGAACACATTCTGTATATATTGACCACAAAAACATAGGTAGTTTGAAACTGATTGCTTTCCCCATGTGGGTTTCAGGGTTCCATTTCAGAGAAAAAAGGATATACTCATTACCCTCCTAATAAGCATTTAGTAAAAGGTGACTAATTAGAGGAGTTTCATTCAAAGTCAGGAAGCATCTGCCTGAGAAGCAAGGAGCGAACACTGAGCTTACAAAAAAGCCAGAACTGTAAAACGGATGTGCACACAAAACTCAAGATCTGGATCAAAACCAAAGTTCAGGAGAAGTTGATGAACTTAGTCCACCGTCTCGGCAGGCAAGCACACAATTCAAGTATCCCAGGGTCAAGTTGGTTATGCATCGAAGTACACTTGTTCTTGCAGCAAGGCGCTGTTGTTATTTAAAGATATCAGGTTTGATTCCCAGAAGTGTAAAAAATAGCCTCTAGCTTTTATAGTGACTAGTGGGTCCTCTATCTCTCTACCTCTTTCTATAAGTGATAGTAATGTCAATTTGTTTACTACAAAGTAACCTATTGAAATCAAATATGCATGGTGCAAAAACTGTGAAAACAAAAAAACAAATGTTCAGCTCTAACAAAGAAATTACAAATGAATGAAGTGCTGAATTGATAAACTCTCTAGTTACCCCTGTTTGCACAAGCCATCCACCGCAGAGCTTTCACTGGATTAGGGGTTGGACCCACAGCATATGTGAATACTCGTACCTGATAATAGTCATAGTTTTAAATATGGTAAGTGCCAAACCCACAATATGCCTCAAGACATCTGAAGTAAACAACAGACATAAAGGAATAAAGGACTCATTCCATGCCAACGGCGCACTGGGCATGTATTTTGATAGATCAATCAGCACTTGATGAGTTATGTATTCAACTTCACCACAGCTATCTTTATTTCCCAGGATATTTACTGCTACTCATTTTAGAATGGGTAAGCTCGGAAGCCACGGTCAATTAAAAAAGGCAGCCTTGGGTGGATTTGAACCCAAGACCTTTGGATGGTCATTAAGGATGGCATCTAGCCACTGCACAGTCCTGGCTTCCCATTCGAAGAAATACTTGTTTTGAAATCTTCAACTCATAAAAGCTGGGAAACCAGAATTTGAGGCGAAAGGCTTTTCATGAGTTGTCTGAGGGCATAGGCTCACTCCACTGGGAGATGAGAGCCAGAACTAAAAGAAAAAGATAAAGAAGAAATAATCCTTTTGGTGAATGACACCAGGTATTAAACAATGCAGCTTTACAGGAAGAGGTCAAAGAGGGAAGCTTCATCAGGTAGACAGACAGACACCACTCTTCTGATACGGCAGCTTCTGCAGTACACTCTGTTCCCAATATTTTTGTGTTACCTTTTCCCTGGAGCAAACAAGGTAGACTGAGAGAGGGATCATGCTGCATGATCCACAGATAATCTCTACAGAACTGCATACTGAAAGACTTTTCTTATAAGAGCAGGTCTTGCTAGTCACACTCGTCATAGCCATAGGAGGTCATTCCCATGCCACCCTGCACAATCTAAAATTATTGCCTGAAAAGACAGAAAGGTGCCCACAACACTGACAAATATTATGCAATCTGCTGTTTATATCTTTTTTATTTTTTATTTTATTTTACCCTCACAAAAGAAAAACTATTATTCAAATCACTTTGGCTCTTCTTGCAATAAAGTCACACTCTCAATCAGTTATAATGCGCATATCATAGCCTACAAGTATGCTGCTAACTGGTGCAAGCAATGACACTACACATCTTTTGAACTCCAATAGAATGTGTAAGCTCATATTCATGCACTGATATTTCTTTATGACATGATGAAAAACTTTCAAGAATCAACAAAGTTGTCTTGTTTGTGTTTTTCCCCCCTTAATCTTTTAAGCTGTTACAATATCTTCTTCTTTTTCTTAGCATTCACCAGCTGTAAAGGTCTGGTTGGTTGTCGACTTCTAGACTGTATAGTCTTGTTCAAAAATTTGAATTTTGTGTGCACATCCATTTTACAGATCTTGCTTATGTGCAGACTGTCGGTTTCTTGCCTCTCAGGCAGATGTACTTTAGCGTCGAAAGAAACAGCCTTTTTACAACATGCATGTTATGGGGGCAGTGGGTCAATTCTCTTTTCTCCCCAAAACTGGGGCTTCCGAACCTAGAAGGGAAGTTATATTACAAGTCACACAAAAAGCTAACAACAGAACTACCGACAACACAACTATTTAAATCTTTTAGTCCCAGGCAGCGGTTTTATTTTTTTATTCAAGAAGAAGATGATAAAGATTTTCTATCTGAAACTGTTATCATTTAAAACTAATACAAACTGAAGCAAAAGGAATGCTAATGGCAACTATACTGTTAAAAAAGAAACGCATAGATATCCGATGGCGCATTTTTATTAGTAAAACTATTGTACTCGAGCATGTGAAACGCAGACTTAAATGCTGTTTACTGTGTCCAGGGAGGTGGGCGTGAATTGCGTGGGTTTTTGTAATCGTTATAAGGCAGTGGTCAATTGTGTTTAAGACCATATTTGTGAGCATAGCTCACAAAAAAGCAACACAATTTGCGGTGAATACTATTTACTGCCTACGTAATTGAAACACTATAAAAGGATAATACTAAACCAAAACGCTTAGTTCATTTTCAAGCAGTCACAAATGGTGCCTCTATTGATAAATTTAAGGAATATTGCTATTGGCCGATTGCAGGCAGGAGAAAGTCAAAGTCAGGTTGCCAGGCATCTAAGTGTGCATCAGAGTACCATAAGTCGACTTTGGCACCAGTTTCAAGCCACTGGTTTACAACAGAGACAGGTTTACATGAGCTTCCTCAGCTGCACGGGCATTGCCTCCAGGACGTCATGTGTCTGATCAAACTGTTCAGAACAGACTACATGATGTTGGACTTTGGGCTCGACAACCATACCGAGGACCAGTCCTTACGTGTCGCCACTGCCAAAATCAACTTCTTAGGGCCAACCAACAACGTCCATGGGCAAGTGACAATCAGTGGAGACATGTCTGGTTCAGTGATAAATCTTCCTTTTTGTTGCAGCATCATGATAAATGGCGTACAGTCTACAGTAGATGAAAAAAATGTTTAGCCCAAAATTGTGTTGATGAAGCACTGCTGCACGGTGGTGGAGGTGTAATGGTATGGGGAATGATCAGTTACAACAGAAGGAGTCAATTGGTGCACACTTAAGGAAGCTTGAATGTGCAACGATATGTCTATAAAATTCTTCGACCACATGTCCTTCCATTTTGGGATGCCAACAGATATCTTTTTCCCCAGGACAATGCCAGACCCCATTATGCACAGCTGACCAATAACATTCAAACCCTTCACTGGCCATCCCTGTCTGCAGACATGAGTCCGATTGAGCATCTGTGGGATGAGCTGCAAAGACGTGTTTGTCGCCGAAATTTTGCTCCAGCCAATGGTTGTGATCTGTTCCAGACACTCCATTAAGAGTGGGCAGCCATCCCATAAGCCCACATAAGACATCTGATCACATCCATGCCCAGGAGATGCCAGTTACTGATCCATGCAAGAGACGGTCAAACATCATACTAGCGGGAAAGGCCTACTCTTAAAATCTATCATGATCCAGATGCAAAAAAAGCTGTCAATTGATTGGTGGAACACTAGGGTATTCTTATGTAAAATTTGAGTAATTTCCCTTACTGCATTACAAAGATGCAGAATGTCAAAATTGTGAGTATGTTTGTTCCTTTCAATTTCTATGTGTTTCTGTTTTTTTTAAAACAGTAAATAATGAGTAAAAGTTAAGTAACAGGTGGGAGAGAATTGTTAGTGGTAATATTAACTAGATGGCTACAGCGAAAAAGAGTGCTTTGCCCTTACCAATAAACATAAGGTGAACTGCCTATACATGTGTTAAAATAGTTTTTAAGAATTTTTGTTTGTTTTGGGATTACAATATTAAACCATATACTAACCTTACATGTAAAGCAAAATCAAGGAGTCTTTTAAGGCTACTGGGTACCTGGTTTGTGGTGTTAGCCAAATATTTTTAGTGCCCAATCACTAGTTGATGGTCAACATCATACTGGTCACTTTTCCTCCCAGGGTATTTTCTGGTATTCATTTTAGGCTGGCAGCCTTAAATGATCTTACCGCCAATGATCAACCACAGAACTCTTCAAAATAACATTAAACGTGTTCTCAGTGATACCAGTTTTCTTTTAACTCAGTACATGCACTTACAGTCTTGTTGGGCCAGTTGTACTTTTCAAAGACATCTTCTGCAGTATCGGTTCCTCCGTCTGTTAGCAACATGATCACCTTATTGCAGTTAGCACCCACATTGTTAACGTTGGTTCCATTATTGCTGAACTGAAACAAAGAAGCAGATTGTTTGTACATTTGCTACTGTAGGAAAAACAACTGATCGGCAAACATTTAGAATGCTGTTTCTGTACAACCGATAAGGTAGCATCTGTACCTCAAAAGAAAAGGACCCTTTTCCACACCTTTAGGCGTAATGGGCATATAGGGCTAGACCCATATTTTACAGACCAATCGGAACTTGGTGATGTCAACATCAAGCCGGCTGCCTTTACTTCCCAGGACTTTACCTGGCACACATTTTAGTCTGGGTAGACCTGTTAGCCAGTGTCATTTTTAAAAGTCTTGGCTCCCTTAGGACCTGAACCCATGACCCTGGGTATATACCATATGCACTAAAACACACCGATACTGACTGAGCAAATGGGACGTCAAAACAATTCGTAATGTTGTTAGGGAATTGGAATCTAGGAGATTCAGAGATAAAAGTTTGAAGGAAACAGATGTATTGTCGTGTCTCAATGGATCCTTGAGGAAGGTCTACCCCGGGATTCCACGTAGTAACCTCAACTGAGAGCTGGTACATTGATTACTGTGCTCGGCAGGAAGCCCAAATATTTATAGCTAATGGATCTCTCAACCGAATCACTAAGGAGGAACATTGCCCTGTTATCTAGTATCCAAAGTGTAGAAGAGGAGATCAATGTGACTGTCTAGACTCTCAAGGTTGTTCTGTTGACCTGTTGTTTGAAGACGTCATTTGAATTTCTCTGGACGAGTGTGCGTGCGGTAGCGAGAATTGACGTGTTTGGGTGAGTCTTCACCATTTATCAGGTTATTTGCACATTTTCACATTTTGGATCAAAGTGTTTGTCAATACACCATTAGGATACCCTAAACATGGCCTTCAGCATTCAATTCCCGGTTGGGCGCATTGAAGTTGATTGTTAATGTTATAGGCTTCCTGTTTCATCGTTGGATTTGATCTCTGACTGTTCTACCACACATGGCTGGTGGTATTGTAATATCTCTATACTGCACTCGTTTTGGTACCTTCATCGCATGTGGAAAAGGGACCTACACCTCTTGGTATCCAGGGCGCACGTTTCACATGGTGGCTCTTTTATTTCAACAGTTTTTACAGATTATTTACATATGTGCAAATGGGTGTGTAACAGACACTGACAAGGAAAGAAGAAGGAAAGACAGACACAGACAACAACAAAAAGAGAAAGGCGGGAAAACAAAAAAACAGACAAAAGTAGGAAAAACAAAAATTCTGAGATTTAAAAAAAATGCATAAATATATTTGCTTGTATATAAGCACAGTTTATCTAGATATATGGGATAAAGACAGATAGAAGGTGTCTGAAAACAACAAAATTGACGTTACTGCACTGGATATTATCTGATATGGCACAGTCTCTCTCCACAGAATGGTTGGGTTTCTTGACTGAGCATCTAACGAGGCACAGATTCTGTAGCTTCAACTGCAACCCCCAGGCATCTCCATATAGAGGGATGGTCAAAAGGTAATTCCTCCTAATTTTTATCTATATAAATACTGTACCAGTGTGCATTTTGTAAATTTTCGCAGGATTTCTTAAACACTCTTCTGCAATGTACAGCATTACAACACTGTATTAGTAATGGTTGGCACCACTGTAACAGTTTGAAAACGGCTTCCAAAAATGTTCAGTTACAACAAGGTAAAGTTAAAGTTAGTTTTACAGGAGGTTGCAGAACCAACCCCAGCATTTTTTGACTGTTGTGGTTTTTGTAGACAAATTTATGTCCAGTAGTTTGCCATTGCTTTCTGGATGGTCAGTTTCTCAATACCACTGTCTAAATCAACGCAAGGGACAAGGCCTGCAGCCGAACCCGACACCCTGGCTTTACAAAGTGCGTTTGCAACGCCTAAGCCACAGATGCTGACAAACAAGGTATCACAGACTTCTTTAATGGTGAAGGTGAGACCCCAATTCACACTCATGAACATTTAAAGACTGTGGATATTCAGCAGTGGATGTTAACACTGTCTGACGCCCGGTACATCGTTATGACAAAGCTGAAGTAGGTCATCCCTCAATGGCTTATGCAAAGCATACTGGTTGCCCATCTAAAGCAGTTACTGCACACAACACTCATCGAGTTGATGACATCCTTTGTGCTGACCGTCGGGTAACAAAAGATGAACTGATGGTCTGGACACTGTCTTTAATAAGGACAACAAGGAATACAGTTCATCCAGTACTACCCAATGGATTTGTGGACGCATATGTGGGATGAATTTGCTGGAGTGGCAAGGAACAACCAACTGCACATAAATAAGCCAGTAAAGCAGATTTATATGCACAATTTAGACTGGCACAAAACCAAAGTCTAAATGGACGAACAACCAGGACTTTCTACTGGAACTCACAAACCAATGAACAAAGATAAAGGGGTTGGTGACTCCAAGTGTTTGTAATCTGCCTGTATAAAATCTCTCTATAGTCTTCTTGGTCTGCTGAGTGGTCTACTTCCATTTAAGTTCACTTACAAACATGCTATCTTAGCTTGCTGAACTATTTCCACTGAAATGTCTCACAGGGAATCAATCCCTGGACCGTATACAAGTGTGTAGCTGACATAACCTATGATCACATAAAAAGCAAAATTAACATTCTGATATCAAGAATGTGTTCACCTCATTGAATTTCTCAAAAGCAAACTGGATAGCCTGTGTGAAGTCTGCCTGACCAAATGCCATTAGCTTGTCTATATCCTTTATGAGACGCTGCCAAGGAAGAGAAGAAACCAAAAATACAAATTATCTTAGTTTTAAAAAAGTTCTTTTTAATTAACCCTTTCTGTCCCAGCTAATATACATCTGATTGGTTAGTGCAGATGCATACCAATCAAAGTGCAACACATGTTTTCTCATTGTCAGTTAGGGGTGGGTATATGGCCCCTGTATAAGTAGTATAAGAACACTTTTCCCCACCTTCAGGCGTATACTGGGCATCATGGGCTAAATCTATATTTTCTAGACCAATCAGCACTCTGTGGGTGATGCAATAAACATCCAGCCAGCCTTTTTTACTTCCCTGGACTGTACCTAGTACCCATTTAAAGCTGGGTTGACCAGGGAACCATAGTAAAAAAAAATTTTTTTTTAATCCAGCTCCATTAGTACTTGAACCCACGACCTCCTAATTCTGCAGGTGAGCATCTAACTGCTACACCATGGTGGCTTCCTCCGTAGAAATAGTACACCTGTGAGAAAGGCACAGATGCAGCACCCTAGCTGTAAACCACACTATAATGTACTAACAACCTTCTTGAGGGTGAAATGCAGAAGATGAAGAAATCCTCTCCAAACATCTAACAGTGACTGCTACCCTGAGAGCAACAAAACAAAAAAATTATTAACATAAAAAATAAACACTTTTTAAATTCTGAATCTGACTCACACTTCTATCCCCCAGAGCAATAAAAAAAATACTAACATTAAAGAAAATTTTTTTTTGTTTTATTCTGAATCAGACTTTTACTGCTGTCCCCAAAGCAATAAATAAATTACTAACTTAAAAAATGAACACTTTTTTAATTATGAATCAGCCATTGACTGCTATACTGAGAGCAACAACAAAAACTTAAAAAAAGAAACATTATTTTTCATTCTGAATCAAACTTCTCACCCGCTTGTTTCTAAAATTTGCTTGAACAAATGCTGTGTGGTTGAAGCACTTGCTAACAAAATTAGCTTCCTCAGCAAACTGCAAATTTAAAAACATTATAAAAACATTTTCTCTACAGTTAAGCACAATCAGAAAAACAGAAACACTATTATCAATGTTTAAGAATCATTCCTCATCACCATTATTTTCCATTATTAGTTTTCATGAAGTTTGTAAATTCAGTCTACCATATTTTGTACAGTTAGTATGGTATAATGATTAACAATAGATGTGAGATGTTTCAAAGAGCTGCCAAAGTAACAAGAAGAGACCAATTGAAATGAAGAAACTGGAGGAAGACCAGTACTGAAACCAGTCACAAAGTTTATTAACCCTTTTACCCTAATAATCTAGAAGAAAAAAAAAATAATAATGCCATGAATCCGTTCTGGAATTTCTGGTTTTCCAGACAAATATTTCGTTAAAATATCCAACCATTTTAGTTTAAAAAAAATAATAATTCAATTTTCAGACATAAACAAACCAAACTTACGCACTGATGAAATGGAGTAATCAATTAAACAAAACGCAGCAATAGAGATTCAACCAGGTTACACTTTCCCGTTGTCAAATACATTTAATACGTAACTCATTTATGTTCCTGTGACCCAGCCGCTGGAGACCACTGTGGCAACATTGTAATTTCTATAAATAAAGCCAGTTAACAAATGCTATTTCAGGGACCTATCAAACATCTGCGCATGTGGTAATGAAATCCATGCTCTTAGCAAGGAATCTCGTATAACCAGTTACTATATTCGCGCAGGTTGTGCAGCAATTGTGAGAACAAGGCACAAACCAGAAGTGCCAGGTCTGGTGCTGCTCGGTGTGAAAGGGTTAAAGAGCAATAGATGAGATGGTCAGGCCATCTGACCAGAAAGCACTGTTACCAACGGACACAGAATGCCAAGATGAAGAACTATACTAAATAAAAATGGACTTACTATGCACAGTGATATACTGCCATCTGCCACAGGTATTTACCACTTTTGTGGTGTAGGCTTTGAGGGGTGGGGGAAAGCATTAAATGCTATAGTGAACAAACAGATATTAGAACAAGTAATATGTTTCTTAACCATGGAAATTATATGTTACAGAAGGGCTGCAGGAGTGATAAGAATAGATAAAATCATGAAAGAGGTCCTAAGAGACAATGTCAGCACAGAACCAAATATAAATTACACACAAGGACAGCAAATCAAATGGTTTGCCCACTTATTTCTATCAATATTTCTACTTAGTAGGAACGTCTTGTGATGAAAGAACTTACAAGGCTTACTAAAAGAGAAGAAGGCTACAGAGCACAAGGTAAACCAAGAACAAAATGGAGACTTAACGTCACAGACATTCTATGATAGCATGATGTGTCTATAAGAGCAAGAAGCAGAACCTTATACCCTCCTCGACACCTGAAAGTAAAAGAGGAAATAAAGAAGAAGAAGAAGACCAGGTGTTCTTGGCCAAATTACTACAGACGACAGACGTGACCTTAAGTTTTAAAAACATGATGACCAAACATATTTACTATATGCAAAAAAATATTGACATCTAGAGACATAACCAACAAATCAAAACCAATAACTGTCAAATGTTATGTGTGGTGCAGAAACTTGGACCACAAACAAACAACTAGAAAATTTAACTGAAACTGCAGATTTTGCTATACAGAAGAATATGTTGCATTTCAAAATAAAAACAATCACCAACTGAGACTCTGATGATGTTGCTATACAAAAGATAATGTTGCATTTCAAAACAATCAAATTAAACAACTATTGTTGTTCAGATGAGACTAGGGTTTCAAAACAATCAAATTAAACAACTATTTTTTGTTCAGATGAGACTAGGGTTTCAAAACAATCAAATTAAACGTTTAACTATTGTTGTTCAGATGAGACTAGGGTTTCAAAACAATCAAATTAAACAACTATTGTTTGTTCAGATGAGACTAGGGTTTCAAAACAATCAAATTAAACAGCTATTGTTGTTCAGATGAGACTAGGGTTTCAAAACAATCAAATTAAACAACTATTGTTGTTCAGATGAGACTAGGGTTTCAAAACAATCAAATTAAACAACTATTGTTTGTTCAGATGAGACTAGGGTTTCAAAACAATCAAATTAAACAACTATTGTTGTTCAGATGAGACTAGGGTTTCAAAACAATCAAATTAAACAACTATTTTTTGTTCAGATGAGACTAGGGTTTCAAAACAATCAAATTAAACAACTATTTTTTGTTCAGATGAGACTAGGGTTTCAAAACAATCAAATTAAACAACTATTTTTTGTTCAGATGAGACTAGGGTTTCAAAACAATCAAATTAAACAACTATTGTTGTTCAGATGAGACTAGGGTTTCAAAACAATCAAATTAAACAACTATTGTTGTTCAGATGAGACTAGGGTTTCAAAACAATCAAATTAAACAACTATTGTTGTTCAGATGAGACTAGGGTTTCAAAACAATCAAATTAAACAACTATTTTTTGTTCAGATGAGACTAGGGTTTCAAAACAATCAAATTAAACAACTATTTTTTGTTCAGATGAGACTAGGGTTTCAAAACAATCAAATTAAACAACTATTGTTGTTCAGATGAGACTAGGGTTTCAAAACAATCAAATTAAACAACTATTGTTGTTCAGATGAGACTAGGGTTTTCAAAACAGTCAAATTAAACAACTATTTTTTGTTCAGATGAGACTAGGGTTTCAAAACAATCAAATTAAAAACAACTATTTTTTGTTCAGATGAGACTAGGGTTTCAAAACAATCAAATTAAACAACTATTTTTTGTTCAGATGAGACTAGGGTTTCAAAACAATCAAATTAAACAACTATTTTTTGTTCAGATGAGACTAGGGTTTCAAAACAATCAAATTAAACAACTATTGTTGTTCAGATGAGACTAGGGTTTCAAAACAATCAAATTAAACAACTATTGTTGTTCAGATGAGACTAGGGTTTCAAAACAATCAAATTAAACAACTATTGTTGTTCAGATGAGACTAGGGTTTCAAAACAATCAAATTAAACAACTATTTTTTGTTCAGATGAGACTAGGGTTTCAAAACAATCAAATTAAACAACTATTTTTTGTTCAGATGAGACTAGGGTTTCAAAACAATCAAATTAAACAACTATTTTTTGTTCAGATGAGACTAGGGTTTCAAAACAATCAAATTAAACAACTATTGTTGTTCAGATGAGACTAGGAATGAACAGAAAGTTGCTAGAGAAAACAAAAAGGGGACATGTGAAATATTGTAGCCACATTAAAAGATGTAACACTCATATAAAAGCCATACTGAAAGGAAATGTTGAAGGCCAACAAGCAGGAGGTAGGCAGTGATAGAAGTCAGAGGATAACATCAACAGATAAAAAAAAAAGTTTCCGAGCATTTAATATAATGAAGGACAGAGAGTGTTGGCCACCCACTGCAGCCAACTTTCACTGAGGAGACAACACCTGAATGATTGACTGAGTGACTAACTCAAACTTACAGCAACAATGTTGACATAATCATTCTCTCCAAGTGTAGCCAGAATGGATTTCACAGCATTCTGCATCAGCTGCAGTGACTGTCCATGTGTGCTTCCACTTCTGTTAAAGCAAGGAGTGTGTCAAATTCCATAAATAATACTTATCCTAAACAATATAAGCTATTTACACAATGTTATTGAACTAAAATGCTTTCTTGCAAGTCCAGTAGTCACAGATTTTATTCTTCATCACACTGGATTTTAAAATGAACCTGAGTTCAAAACAGGTACCAGAAAATGTCTTAGAAAGTCAAGAAGGGCATGCATGATACCGATACTCCTCCTTGAATGCCAACTGGTCTATGAAAATATAGAGTTAGCATCACATGCCCAATATGCCCAATATGCCCAATATGCCCCAACGCTCGGATATCAGATATTTGCTTCCTTTATAAAAATTAATAAACACTAACTGGTAGCAGATCATTCTCACTCAATTTGTTCATTTTTACTTTGACTCATTCTATCCCAAGTTCAGCTTAAAAGCAATAAATACTTAGGTCTGAAAGAGTCAGAGAAAGAAAATCCATGATATGCCCCTGTTAGGAATCTTGTCAGGTTATGCAAGCCACTCTACACATATGATGGCAGTTTCTTTTTTCTTAAGCAAGAGGTGAATAAGTTACAGTTACAACATGTGGGGCTGTAATTCTTTCAAGACATCAGAAAGTTGCTGTTACTGCCCCCACCTCAATTCAGATGTTCTTATATAAGCAATATAATGTCAAACTAGATATGCTTATGCCATACAGTACAGATACTAATTCATGTTTTATAGTATTTCACACTGGTTAAGATTTTTTTAAATATCATTTTTCACTCAGTGATGTATCACTTACGTGTCAATTAAAATCAGCATGTCTTTAGGAGAACTTGAACCCTGTGTGTACCTGGTGATAAAATATACAATTATCAAAACAACATGAATTTGTTGTCTGTGAAGAGTTGGACACACAGGATAATCATTCAAGTTTCAATGACACAAAAATTCAGTTAAATATTCAGGATCTGGGTATAGTGGGTATGAAAAGATAGTTACCGAAGGACATTTTTTAAAAGACAAGTAAAGTATTTTTTGGCTACATTAAAAGATATAATACTTATAAAAACCCCACTGGAAAGGAAAGTTGAAGGTGAGCAAGTGGTAGGTAGACAGTAATACAAGTGAAAGGTCACATCAAGAGATGGACAAACAGCAGTCTCTGTGACAGCACAACCAAGATGAGAGTCAGATAATGTTGGAAATCCATTGCGGCCAACTTTTTTTGTGCGTGGAGTTGGCACCTGAGTTATTGACCAAAAGAAATCAAACTATGGCAGCAATTATATAAAGTTATATAACAGTGACCATTCCTAAATAACGGTCTTTCCATGATTTAATACAGTGGTTTCCAACCTTGATGAATCAGACATCACGCTAGACTCAAATTTGTACAGATCAACTTACACGTGATGCTTCAACATCCATCCAGATCTAGACACTGCATCTATCCATTTCAGCTTGTGTCAAAGATGGGGTTAGCCAAAGTTCATTTTAAAGGGAACAAAATGACTCAATGAGGATTCAAACCCAACACCTTAAGCTTCTAGCCACTATTCTACCACAGCTTCCCAAATCGTGTCACAAAACTAAGTATAAAAAACAGTAAGTGTTTAATTAATGTTGCCTCAAGATGTCAGCATATATGACTACTAAAATCACAACAAAAGTAAACCACACAACAGCAGGTTATAAACTCACCATGACTGTCGGCGCACATCGTAGAGATCAACTTCATCTCTTCGCCACTCAGCAGCTGTACAGGAAACATTGCAACAAGTTAGCAACAAAATACTGAATCAGAAGGACTGTGTTAAGTCACAGACTGTGACAAGAACAAACACAAACTCAAATAATGGTTGTTACAGTATAGTGATGCATTTGAGGAGCAAAGAATAGTAACACTACAACCTCAACCTTGAGGTTTGAGGTTTTGAACAACGGATCAACAAGTCTGAATCTGAAGAAGCTGAAATACTTTAGGTAAGATTTTTAACTCCAAATTGTGTCCAGGCTGCGCCATTAGGCTACTCTTTTTGATTTCCAACTGCCAAGGGATTTTTTATGTGCGCAGCAATGCACACGAGCGTCCGATCATTACCCAGAGACCAGGGAAAATAACAAAGTCCAGGCACATGTGAAAAAATCCCAGCCCTTACCGGGGATCGAACCCAGAGCCTCTAGCACTAGAGGCAGACACCATGCCTCAAGACCACGCAGCCGTAGGTAGTGCGTCAGTCTCATAACCTAACCCTTCCATGCATGCATGTTGCTAGAGGCAGCTACGAAAAGTTAGCATTAGACTGTTCTTTTGTCCTGTAACAAACTTTAGCTGAAATATATACAACTTAATTGGACTTAAGTGGTACTTCGGAAGAGAACTAAGCAAATTCCTGCAAATCAAGAGATAAAGAAAGCACACTGGTATTGGATGGGACATGAACTAAAAATAAACTTATAACAATATGGTTAACCTGCACTGGAATCTACAGGGTCGAAATAATAAAGGCGGACTAAAAGCCACACAAAGAAGAGAATTTTTTTAAAAATGAGGCAAGAAAGATGGAGAGAACCCTGGGAGAACTGCATGAAATGGCAAAGAATACGACAGCTTGGTGCAAGCTGCTTGAGGACCTATGCTCCACTGGAGGGCAAAGGGCAGAAGAAGATGAGCCTAGGACAACAGGGAACACCAGAGCAGTATACAGTGTAACTATCTAGAGTTCCCTAATTATAAGCTCTAACGAGGTTGAACAAGGTATATAGAAAAAATAAATAATGGCAGTTCCAGAAAAGTAAACTTTTTTCTTAAAATATTTGATCAAGCTCACCTGGATATGTTCTCAAGAAGCCAGTCTGAGAACCAAAATACTGCCATAGGATGTCCGGATCTTCTTCTTGGTTTTTCTTAAACTGGTCTTCTAGAGCAGCTGTCCAGTTGAGCCCATTCAGTATATCAATATCTACCAGAGACAAGTCACACATTAATCAAGGCTGGTGAAGCCATATTTCATGTTATGGTAAAATAAGCAAGACAATTCTTGTGGGTTGTGGATAATGGTACCAGAGTGGCATCATGGAAGAGACTGGGCTATCACCATGTAATATTCCAAAAGATAGTAGTGGATGTACATACCCACTGCCGCCAAGACTTCACTGTGGACACAGCAAACACATACAATTAGTAACCACAAGGTTTTCCCAGCAAATGCCCATGAGAGGAAATAATCATCATGAGTCCATCAATCAGAATTTGATCCTATTTCAGGGCAAATGAGTCATGCTATAATTGCTCTGTTCCTGTGTCCGTCAAAATCACACAAAATGACTATAATGTCTCATATGAAATGTCAAATAGCACAATCCAACAGCTTGTACATGCATTAAGTGCATAAGGCAGCTGCCACAAGCGCCAACACTAGAATTGCAGTTCACAGTCAATGGATAATCACGAATATATTACTTTCACTGGAAGGGATCACTGGGTAAAGTCAAGTTAAAAGTAAAGGACCCTTTTCCACCCCTTCAAGCATATTGGGCATATAGGGCTAGACCTATATTTTATAGACCAACCGACACTTGGTAGGTCAGCATCACACTGGCTGCCATTGCCTCCCAGGACTCCAGCTGGTACCCATTTAACGCTTGGTCTACCTGGGAGAAAAGGTCATTTTTGGAAGAAAAAAAAGTCCGGCACCTGCAGGACCTGAACTCACGACCTTCCGATCTGCAGATGAGTGTCTAGCCACTATACTACAGCAACTCCCAAAAAGTCTAGTTACATTTGGATTTGAACCCACGACCTTCGGATGCACAGGTGAGCATCTAGCCGTGATGGCTCCCGGTCATTAGGTACTAGACAATATTCTAACAAGCGTCCAGAAAAGAAATGGGATGAAGACAGAAACTGACCCCCTACATAAAATGTAGTGACCCAGAATATGTGAAGGCAACACTGAATACCCCAGCAGTATTCTGTTAAGTTAACGTCATAAATGAAAAAATTTAGAGAAGGAAATGCACACGGAGGTGAAGTGGCTGACCAACCAAAAGATAGGCACAGTATATAAGTGACTCCTTGGAAATAAAAGTGCACGAGTGAGGAGAGGTGGCAAGAGACCATGTGTCTTTAAGGCAGACCGTGAAAAGAGCAATGTTTTTCAAAAGACCTGCTACACAATGATGATGAGTAAAGTTAAACATGAACTGGCAACTGAACAGACATGGTTTTCTAGATAATTAAAAATAAGTCCCCCCTACTAAAGATACTCACTTCCGTCATAGATCTCAACAGGAATATGGACACTTGAGAAGTTGAAATTGACTCGCCTCCCAAATTTATCACTGTAAGTGAGCTCCACATCCTTTTCATCTAGCTCCTTGGAATTCATGTAGGTGACATCATCTTTCTGTTGTCAAAGTAACAAAATCATTGACCCATACTGAAGTTTTTAAGGGCAAGGAAGATTTTTGTTAAGACTTTCAGTACAAATAAATCATTTCTTTCTCTCTTTCTAAAATGACGTGTTTGCCACTTCTAGGCTCTGCCTTATGCATTTAATGTGTGTGTATGGTATTGGCTTTGCTGACTACAGTCTTTGTCAATTATTTCGCAAAGGATGGTGATAGGCCTTCTACATGATTTTTATTGGCACAGGAACAAAGCAACTATGGGTTGACCCCTTTGCTGCGATGTTAGAACTGTGATTTCCTAACTAAGAGTTTGCCCACAAAGCAGTATTAAAGCTTTAGAAATTATACCCCTTCAAAGAAAATTATTCATACTTACAATTCACAACAATACAATCACTTATAACAAACCCAAACTTCTGCATTTTTTACGTGAAAGCATAACTACAATGTTCTGGAATCACCCACTGCTTTCTAATAAATAAACACATGAATATGTAGTCGTATTTTGGACTCACATCTCTGGCCCAAACACTTCAGATACTTACAACTTTCACTTAATTGTTGGCCCTGCTTCTGACTGACCTCATTCTAATAGTGTGTTTAGAAATTGAGGCTGTGATTTTTCCCGCGTGCGCGCGTGTGTGTGCATGTGTGTGTGTGCGCGTGTGTGTGCATGCATGTGCATGTGTGCATGGATAAGGCTTTTATTTTCATCTTAACATTAATGTGTTATAAATCAATAATATTTAGACTGCCCCATCCTACTGAAAAAAAAAATGTTTTCATTTTCATAACTTGTATAATTTTAATTAGGTAACAAAACATATTTTTCTCTACTGATGTGATTTAACCTTAACCTAACCACATAAGTTATGCTTTGTAAAACCATTTTTTTCACCAACAGTGTGGCAGGTACTCTGTAATCTTGAGTGCCTGCTACACAACTACATGGCTGAATCACCAATCAATAATGTTTTTTTACATATTTGCCTATGGAGGCTGCATCTCCTGTTCGGTCCAGAAAGACTGTCACCTATCTATTTCTATGCAGCAGATGTTAACTCTTTGAGGCCCAAACAACGGTGTGAGCATAGTTCAAGAGGGTTCCGTTTTGCCCAAACAACAGTGTCATCGTCAATCGTGTGTCCCTTACATTTTGCTTCGCACGCGGCTTCGTATTAGTTTCTAATGTTTGGAGGTACCATTAAACTATTCAGGGAAAGTCACTCTGCGGAAATCCTTTTAGTTTCATTTCCTTGACTAAACAACACGTAGATAATTTGAGAGAAAACACGGCGAAATTTATTTTTTTGCAGTTCATTTTCTAAGTTTGTTTTTGAGTGCTATGAATACCAATGTTCTAACTACAAATACAGGTCGCAGAATGCGTCTTTCTGTGGCCCAAGCTCTGAAATTGTTTCAGTCAGATGTTCTTAATTGTGATAATGATAATAAAAATTTAGATTTTTCGGAAAGTGATTTGGACGGTGAATTTTCACCAGTGAAGCTGAGCAATCAGCTGTTCGGAATCTAGCGATTCTGATGAGTTTATTACACAAACAATGTCCCATACTACCGTATTTATAGTGTAAGAGAAGGAAATTGCTCTAAACAAATAGATTGTACTATACTATAGCTAAGCTACACTAAAATCATCGCAACTACAGTCTGTTAATAACTGTACAAAGTAAATAGTAAATAGTGTGTGTGTGATGGCTTACTTTTCTGCCATTTTTTCTCTGAAATGTTCTGTGAGAACTAAGAGCTCCTGAGTGCTAAACTTACTCAGAAAGTTATTATAACGTTGAAATATGTTAGGAAATTGAACAAACTTTGAAATTTTGTTCTCAAATTTGGATTTTTACTACACTTGTGGCTGCAAAACCATGGTAAGTGAAGAATTTTTTTGTTAAATGTTGTCCTTGTGAAATTAACACCTGCTGAATTTTTCTTTCCCACTAACTATAACAAAATTAAACAAACACTTATCATCAGATTTGAAATGTACATTCATTTCTCTTTTTAAAAATATATACTTTTATAGGGATTAGAAGTATATTACAATCTCTATAGCCTTTCTTGTGCACCCACCCTTCTGCCATTTTTGTAAAGGGAAATTAATTTGGGCCAAGTCTGTCAAAATTCATGGGCCTGAAAGAGTTAATTCCCATGTAGCTGTCAGTGTGTCTTCATGAATAACTTTTCACTGTATTTTCACAACTCTTCTTGGTGTACAATTTTATTAAGGTAACAGAACAAATTTTCCTTTACAGATATGATTTAACCTAACTGTAACCACATAAGTTACACCTTTACAACTTGTCACAAGGCTTGGGCATGTTCCAGCACACATTTTATAGCACGTAACGACACTTTTAGCACAACAGGTGTGCTCTTATTCAGAATTTATATAAAACATACACACAAAACTTGTGATGGTTACATTTAAACTTTGTTTTGTATAACTCTTAAAAGGCAATCCAGCATGGATCATCATATACTCATATACCTTGAAAAAGCAAAAATTCATTCAATTTACATAAAATATGACACACACTGAGAATTAAGTAAATTAATAATATATAATTTTGTCCATTTATATTCCACTAGAGCTGATTTATTTATATATATTTTTTTAACATCGGCACCAATTTGCAAATGCACTAGAGCATCAAATAAACCTCATAAAATGGTTACTTTTTTTTTCAGAAAGATGCCTTTTCATTACTAATATGGTAACATAAAAAGACACAACTAAGGTTATTTTTTTACTGACCATCAAGTTGTTGTTCCACTTGTAGGCAGCTGCAGCAGCCTCAGCAGCCTTCACAGATTTCTGAAATTAATCAAATAATGTTTTCAGTAAATAAAGGAATTTTCAGGTACTGGTCAATGTCTAGAGATCACCAAAACTATCAAGTTTAATCAAATGATGTTTTCAGTAAATAAAGGAATTAAGCATGCACTGGTCAATGTCTAGAGATAACCAAAACTATCAAGTTTAATCAAATGATGTTTTCAGTAAATAAAGGAATTAAGCATGCACTGGTCAATGTCTAGAGATAACCAAAACTATCAAGTTTAAAAGATAACTGGATAATTCTAAATTCTGTCAACGCCCTGCAGGTCCTGGAGTTCCCCTTCCGAAGGAAAAAGATTTAACTATTGGCCAAAACAAGCAGGTTGTAATATGCACCTAATAAGATTGATTTTATTTGATTTGATTCAAGAACCGACATCACAGCACTCGGGGCATTTCCATAAGTGCTTCGTCCCCATCTTGAGCAGCCAGCGAAGAGTTCCGATACTAATGGTGCCAGTAGCATTCTGATTAAAAACCCGTCTTGCCTTACCTCTGTGCTAATAAGAAGTATGATGAAATTATGTGTGTGGGGCCAAAAGGCACAGAAACTGGGGCAGAGCTGTAAACCACAACATGATAACTGCCCTTTTTAAGAATGGACATCAAAGAAGAAGAATTAATTAAAGGGTACTTTCTCCCTCTAGAAGGGGTTTTTAACGCATATTCACAACCCTGACATACCAGGGACTCAATGTCACCTGCAGGCAACCTGGGAAGAATACTGTACCATTACAGAAAGCAATGGCAAACTATTGAATGTAAAAATGTTTAATAAACTACACAACAGCTAATCTGGTGAATTCTTCTTCTGCGTTTACACTTAAAGTGGAGCAAGTAATTTTACGTGGTTTACAACTAGGCTGCCGGCATCTGTGGCTTAGGCGTTGCAAACACGCTTCGTAATGCTGGGGTGCCGGGTGCGATCCCTGCAGCAGATGATTTGTCTTGGGCTGGTTTCGACAGTAGTACTGAGAGCTGACGGTTCACAAAGTCAGTCAAAATACTGAATGTAAAATTTGCCTAGAAAAACCACAACAAACAATAAATGCTGGAGTTGGTTTAGCAACATCCTTTAAAGGATACGCAACTAACATTGTTTTTTTTTACAACTAGGCTGTGATATCTATGGCTTTTATCCCAACACATCAAATTTTAGCAAATTCTTCATGAATTATCTTTTACAAAGTGCTTGTTAAAACACAGTGTGTCTTTTCATTTTAACCACACACATAAAAAAGGGAATCTTTGGACTCACATGTCTAACAAATGCTGGGGTTTGTCGCATGTCGATTTGGGTGTATCAGCATTGTTTATGTTTGATCTAGTACAGGCTTGTTGACCGGAAAGGGGGAGGGGGGTGTCTACGAGGTGTCAGTGCGGCCAATATTTTGATTTTATGTTAACTTAGGACAGGAGTTGACCAGTGGATTCACGAAGTGTCAAATATCAAGTCCATGCTGAGCAAGAGTGAGGCACAAAGGTATGAGGGAAAAGATGTAAAACATGAATAACTGTGTGTGTCTTAATTATCACGGGGAACTCACACGTGAACATACTGGGGCAAATGGGCAGGAGAACAGTTGAGGAGAGAGCTGAGCAGAGAGAGCTGGGGTGAAGTCTAGTGTTGGCATTCACTATGGAAACAAGACAACCAATTCTTCTTACGAGGAGTGACCCTCGTAGATGTTAGCTATTGGCTGTGTGCTGATGTGACTCAGATTTGGGAGTTCAGCCGATCATCGTAGAATTTCTTGACGTGGCTTACTTGCTATGTGCATACTGTTGAACTTAAGTATTTTAGAGGTTCCTAGTCAGCCAATGTGAAAGTGGCTGCTACTGAGTATAGCAATGGAGGTCATGCTGGGTAAGTTAGATAAAGTTAGTTCATTCTAACTGCTAGCCCTGAAGTGAGGGTTAGTCAACGACCTAGGCATTGAAGCGGTGAACTCAAAAGTTCTGATTGACAGTGAGTTTAGGCTGTATTATGGTGCGCCGCTGGAACTGTTTGGAGAATGCAGAGTTTAAGATGTTAATCCCTGTTAGCCAGCGTGTGGACATACGTTATGTTACTTCATTTCATATACTGTGTGCTGGGTTGGTAGACCCAAACATTCTTGTGATTAAACTTATGACGGTGTACAATTTGCTGAGTTTTCCTGGTCTGTATGCTTTGCAGAGTTTGAGCGAGAATCATGAAATAAGATACTTGAACCGTAAGTTCATATGCCACCCCACATTCAGCATACAACAGGGTTGTTTTATGAAGTCCTGAGGAGGATAAGCAACAAACTCCTCCCTCTAGGTGAATTAAAATTTTTAAAGATAATTATCCTCAAGGAAAGAATGCATGTTACATCCATCATTAGCTAACAAAAATAAACAAAAAGAAGACAGGCAAATAATGTTTTTTTAATCAGGGCTTTTTGTCTAGAAAAAAAAAGAAAGCCAGTTCTCACCAATAAGTGTTTCAAAAGGTGGCGATACTCACCACAATGTGTCTTTTACAGCAGCATTGGAAAAGCTTATACTGAACAAAGGAGGCCGGTATGAAAGCTCTGATTTTAATTGAACTACTGGTCTTTTCTCCCATCTAGGATTGCTATCTGTTGGTTGAACACCTCAAGGGTGAGAATCAAACAGAAGCAGACCCAAGAAACCGTGTTCAACAGCATAAAACAGTTACAGAGTAAAATGTCATTAACATGAACTTGCTCAAGAACAACACTCTAACATGAACACAATGTTGGTCCCAGCAAGGATGTAATATAATCAGTCTTAGGTGTGCACCATTATTTTTTACACAAACTCAATTTTTGGTCCACTGGAATTTGTGTTAATGAGGTTAAACTGAACTAGTGTACCCCCACAGTTATACTAATCCTTTTTTTTTCTCCAGCAGAAAGTTCTGACTGTTTGTCCACTTCTGGACTTTGATCTTGTCCCAGAACTTTTTTACATATCTGGCATATTTGTATGCAGACTGTTGGTTTCTTGCCATAGTCAGTAAACTTTTATGACATACTTGTTAGGTTGGCAGTGGGTCTATTCTTTTGTATCCCTAAAATGGGTCCCTGGAACCCAAAGGGTGAGTTACACTAACAAAATTAAGCAGAATTACACAAAAATAACATGCCACTTACCTCAAGAGCTTTCATATGTCTATGCAGTAACTCAGATACAGATGCGGCCATCTCTTTCACTACCTCTGTTTCATTCAACACTTCATAAGTGAAATTCAAACCAGGAGAAGGCAAACTTCCCTTGGCCTTTTTCTGGAAAGTCTAGTAAGATAAAAACTTATGAATTGGTCTTATGGTTAGTCTAGTAAGATACATACAAATGAATTAGCATTTTTTTTGTAAACTATTAAAGAAAAACAAACTAGCATTTCTGGAAATCTAGTAATGAAAAAGTGTGAATTTGGGAATTTCTGGTAAACCTAGTAAGGAAAAACACAGATTTAGGAATTTCTGGTAAATCGTATATGGAAAAACATTGACCTGGCAATTTCTGGCATATCTAGTAAGGAAAACATAAAACATGAAGCCTGAAATTGTTAGAGACCAATCAGAATTCAAGGGGTGATGCAGTCAACATCATGTAGATACTTTTACTTCCCATAATATTTCCATACAAACTAGGAAATAATGAAAAATACTAAGACTGAGTGTAGCTGGCTGTATATTAAAGAGTTTTAAGAAGCGTAAGGATTCAGGTCTTTCTCTGCAAGGCTCGGCAAGGGGTGGGAGGTTGGTGGTGGCCCACCTAGAGTGTAGTACAACACGTAAATGCCAGCAATGATGACCAGGGAAACATCCGTAGGATCTAACTGAAGGGCTGAGTCTGAAATCAAACCTACAACATTCAGTGCATGAAACAAACAACTGAACTACTTTACCATGAAGACCCGTACATTTGATATTTATGACTTGTTTCTATCCATCTTTCTAGGGCCATTCATTACCCTCATTTGATCCATTCCTCTGACACACTGATTTAACTCTTTGGTACCAAGCAAAGAGAATATGCATTTTGTGGTCACGCCAAAGACAACATACTTAATTCTTTTAAAATATCATCATCAGCAAGTGCCTTGCCGACTGGCATGGGTGATAATGCCTCTCCACAATTTGCGATCCGAAACTGCATGTATCATTTTGTGTTGACATCCCTCTATGCCATGACAAAAGGCTGTCAAGAATCTTCTCACGCTGTCTTTCTTTGTATTTCTTTCCACAAATCTTTCCAGTGTTCACAAGATGTTCCATTTTCCCCTCTTCTCATAACAACCAAAAATTGATGACTGTCTCTTTCTGATGTTTGTGATAAGCTGTTTTCAAGTACTCACCTTTTTCAAAACATCTGGTTGCTCTTCTTAGCTGTCTAAGGAATTCTAAGGATTCTTCTGTAAAACCACATCTCTGAGGCCTCAGTATATTGTTTGGCTTGTCTATTAATTATCCAGGACTCACAGCCGTATGTTAAAACTGGTTCTATACAGCATGCAAGAATTCTTTTCCTAATCTCCGATGTCATAGATTTTTTGCACAAAATGTTCTTCATTTGATAAAATGCAGTTTTGGACTGTCCTATTCTGTTCTGTATTTCTGTGATACATCTTCATTCGGATGTTAACAATGTGTCTAGAGACTTACATTTCTGTACTTGTTTCTATAATATGAGCGCTAATAGCTGACTGTACCTAAACTGTAAATTTAACGTCTTCGGTTTCATGTCTCTTATGTAACTCACTCATAGATACCCATTTAACTCTTTCAGTCCCAAGAAACGGATTGTACGTGCATCATAGAATCCTGCCCAGAAGCCCAGTGAATGCAAGATGTACAAATTATGCATTTCTATTTACTACCCCTTGGGCTTTTCTTTTGTTCAACCCCCTGGGACTGAAAAGTATGTCAAGTAACATCTTTTGGTATAGAAAAGTAAAAAAAATAACTATCTTTGACTGAAAATATGCATACACGAAATAAAACTGTAAAGCCTATTTTGTATGCTAAATATTCAGGACATGTACATGTGCACCTACACTACGTTTACCTACTGAACCTCAGGCACCCACACCAGTAGGCAGGTGCCCTAATGTTCTCTATGGATGACTGACTATGCCATAAAAATACAACTATATAATTGTATTGTTACTTTGCTTTGTTTGCATAATATTTGAAAACCACAATGTTGCTACTTCTCTTGAGTTTTGTTTCTCGTGGTTTGCTGATGAAGGCTTGTCACAGCAATGTCTGTTGTTTAATGTTTTGTGCTCTAACCTGTAAAGCTACATTTTGTCTTCTCAATTTTTCTTTACCAACTGTGAGGCAAGTACTCTGTAATCCCGAGTGCCTGCTACACAACTACATGGCTGAATCACCAATCAATAATGTTTTACATATTTGCTTATGGAGGCTGCATCTCCTGTTCAGGCCTGAAAGACTCACCCATCCATTTCTATGTAGCAGATGTTAATTCCCTTGTAGCTGTCAGCGAGTCTTCATGAATAACTTTTCACTGTATTGTTACAGCTCTTCTGGGTTAAATTTTGGATATACAATCTGCTGTTGCCTCTGATAATGGATTTGTTGGTTTATTTATGACTGTCCTTTGAGCAATAATGATGTTCGCATCATGTTCCCAATTCTCTACACTGAGGTGTGTAGTATCATGTTTTGTATTTCATGTGAGTCATCATCATCACAACCATCATCAATTTCCTCTTTTGTCATTGAGCTTCCTGGGGAGGAACAGTTTGTGATCCACTGCTCAATGGGTAGCCCTGATTACTGTCATCCTGTGACAATGTAGAATGTCAATCCATCCTCTTCTTGAGCATCTTTTTGCTATTACATCAGATCTATTATGTGTTATTTATTGCTGTGGCTGTATTTTAATGAGATTACCAAAACCTTTCATATTCTGCGTCCCAATGAATCTGTAAAAGGTGTTGTTCCCACAGCTGGTCTGAAAGTTTCATTTCTCAGTTCACTAACATATATATTTGCTATTTATACTTTTTGGTTACAAATAAACTTATCGGCCACAAAGACGGAGTTAGGCAGAGCTCTCATCCATGATCATTCTAGAAACAACAAAAATTAGTCATACTGTTGTCAGACAGACAATCTTTTGCTGTCTGTTTTGCATCAATCTACAGCCACATTTTGATGATTTACAACAAGATTAGGCTATTTTTTTTAATTCTTGAAATTTGTTCACTATTAAATTTGGTGCACAAATGCATGCAAACTATTATGAGTTTATGTTAAATGGTCATGAAACTATAGAATTTGTATCAGTCTATACTGCTGTCAGAAAAAAAATTGTTCGATTGCCTTTATTTTTATTTTTTTTATTTTTTCACTAATTTATAACCAGAAGATAATTATTTAAAACAAAATTAATCAATTTGTTTTCTTGAAATTTGTTCTCCATTCAATTTGGGGAAACAAAACAAAATATTATGCGTATGTTAAATAGTTATGAAGCTATGGCATTTTGAGCAAATACAATAAATATGGGATATCTGAGAAAGTGCAAGGGTTAACTAGCTTGGTAGTCAGTAGGTTTAACATTTACACAGAATCAGATGAAATAATTTACTTACATTATTGACCACAACAAACATCTCATTGAGTTTCACAAGTTTATCATCCACAGTTTTGGCCCAACTTGATACACTGAAATGTTACAGAAAAATGCAGGTAATTCCACAGACTTTTGCAAAGTAATGAATTTCATACATAGTAAACAAGTGAAGTACCATTTTCATGCCAGTGGATCTCCGTGTGGGTTCCGGGGCCCCATTGTGGGGAAAACAAGAATAGACCCACTGCCTCCCCAAAAGCATGTCGTAAGAGTCTACTAATTGGGAGCTTCCTTTGAAGTCGGAGTGCATCTGCCTGAGAGGCAAGGAACCAACAGTCTGCATTCAAGTGAATCAGATCTGTAAAACTGATGCACATGCAACACTCAGGTTCTGGAGCAGGACTGCAGTCCAGAAGTGGACGAACAACCAGAACTTTCCGCCAGAGTGTACATCTGGTGAACGCGAAGAAGAAAAAAAAGATGCCAGTGGTGTATGGGACATCTGATGATAGACATTTTTATACTCAATGACCCTTGATAATTGATGCGGTCAACATCAGGCCATGTGCCTTTATTTCCCAGGTCATTACCCAGTATCCAGTTTAAGCCAGGTAAAGTTGGGAGTTGAGACTTTTTTTTTACCGGCCTCGGTGCCGGCTTGAACTCAAAACTTTCACATTGCCATTCTCAAACTAGATGTTGCAGTAGAACCTCCATGCATTTCTCTGCCTCTCAGAAGATGGCCTTCCATATTAACAATCACATCAACTGGGTGGGTACTGCCATGAATAAGTTGTGGAATTTCTTATTCTGCAGTGCCAGCTGGCTAGTCCCTACACTCCCTGCACAATTTGATTCTCCTCATAATTGTCCCATAGCAGTGCATGCCACTAGGTCACCATATTCTGTTGACTGTCTGACTGATCAGCTCCCTCCACCAAGAAATTCCAGGGAAATTTGACTAAAAATCTTAACCAAATGGGGAAGCAGAAAAACATGCACAAAACAACACAAATAACATAACGTTTCGGCCAGGCAGCCTTTGTCAAACATGAAGTGAACTAGAACTACAGAAACAGAAAAACATGCACAAAACAACACAAGTAACATAACGTTTCGGCCAGGCAGCCTTTGTCAAACATGAAGTGAACTAGAGCTACACAAACAGAAAAATGTGCACAAAACAACACAAATAACATATTGTTTCAACCAGGCAGTCTTTGTCAAACATGAAGTGAACTACACAAAGGTAATAATGAGGAGAGGAGAGTGTCCACCTAGGATGGTCAGTTACAATGTACTTCATGGTTGCATGCCTATGGCCTGTCCAGTCAACCAAGTTCTGTAACTAGGTCTTTCTTGGTCTGTCTCTCTCTTCTTCCCCTCTAATTATAACACATGTATTACTGTCTTTAGGAGGCCGTTAGATTTTATTACATATCCGTACCATTGCATTTTCCATTTTTTCACTGTAGTTAGAAGAGGTTTATAGTTGACAATATATCACTTGTCAAACGACTTGATTTAGGATGTGGTCTCTGTGTGGTCACTGCAATACAGTACAGGCTTTGCACTAAGGAAAGGATCAACTTCAACCCTGGTCTTCACTGGTATGTTATGCCAAAATTTTTTCCCAAAGATCTCACTGCCAGTGCCTATATATCCTCTTTATGAGTTCAGCTGAGAAGTCCATGTTTCAAAGCCACATGTAAATATACCAATAACTAATGCTCTGAGCAGCCTTAGCTTGGTTTCACATGAAAAGTTTTTGGATCTCCATAACATTTCCTGGCTCTCCTCCGAACTTCTACCCTGGCATTATGGCGGCTGAACAAATATCCTTACGGGGCTCAGTCCTATATGCGAACTTCCGGCGACGAACGAATTGTGGCAAAACTAGGATTACCAGACAATTTCAAGAGACGCAACACTGCAGATAGTAGCACACTTTTGAGCGTTTCTGCAGACGATACTAGCGACTATTGACAATTTCGAGACACACAACATTACTGACGATAAAAGTCACATGGCGGGGAGAATACTTGCGCCGACGCAGATTAGCGTCGTTGTTGTCCTCAGACTTTTTGCGATGCGCAAAATGTGGTTACACTCACCGGCGACAGTATCCCCTGCGCCGCTACTCGCGTTAAACTAGGTGCCTGGGACTCACGAGCAAATTAACTCGAGGAAATTGCAGGAGATGCGGTAGCTGCTGCTCGTGAGTCCCAGCCATCTAGTTTAGCCCCATCCGCATCCCCCGCGTAGCGACGCGGGGGATACGGTCGGCGGTGAGGCATAGTTACGGAAACAGGTCCGCAATTAACATATCGCTGAGACCCTGTTAGAGCATTTGTTTCATATATGGAGCTGATCCTAGTTTTGCAGCGATTCGTTCGTCGCCGAAAGTTCACATATTTTTAATAGGACTGAGCCCCGTAAGGATATTTGTTGCCGCCATAGAAGTTAGAAGGGGTAAAAGTTCGGAGGGGAGCCCATTTCTTAAATATTAGAAATCACTGACTTGTTCTAATTTGTGACATATAAGGTATACTTCACGTCTAAGGTGATTCTACAGGGTTAAAATAAGCATATTAACAGCAAAGAGACATGGCAATGGGATTTTATCATCTTAGTGAGAGGTTATATAAACAAAAGCATATAGTGTATACATTTATTTACCATAATACCCATGGTAAAAAAGAAAAGCAAATTATTGCTAACGAGAAACGGGGTTAAATTGAGAGATATGTAGAAGGAATTAACTTATTAAGTGTCCTACTAGACAAAGTATAGGAAGACTATACTGTTTGTATACTAATTAATGATGAGCTGCATGGTGATAAGAGTTCTAACTAAACTTTTAACTGTTAATGACCAGACATCGACACTCAGTCAATTTAATAAGTACTAAACGGCGTATTAATAAATAATAAATAATGAACATGTATCCGCAGCCATTGTAAGACGGCAACAGGTGCAATTTCAGCACGTTGACAACGTAGTTTGTTTGATAACCATCAAAGTACATACTTACATGTCTACGGTTGGGGTATCTTGTGCCCATGTAACCGGAGTTAGAAGGCCAAATATGAAGTAAAGCATGAGCAGTGTTGTCCATCTTCGCTCACCCACCGCCATATTAATGTATTGACGACTGTCGTCTGCTTCAGATCGATGATCAGCGTCTGCTGTCACGCCGGGGCTCTGTCCGGGTACTGTGATCATTACTCACGATCAGGCCAAGCCTGTTGAAGCACGCCGGTACCGTATTCGAGGTAAAGATAGGAGTCATTGTAATCAACTTTTCATAGGCACGATTATTAGAGGCACCCTGTGGTTGCTGCTACATCAGATGGTTGAGAGCATAGCATAGCTTCAAACTCACGCTGAGGTTCTTTTCGAGTTTAGCTACTGGGATACAGTAGTCGACACTCACGTTGAGACTGCTTGCTTCGGATACATGGATAAATATAGCTCTCCAGAATCATCCGTTGTCAAAAATTAATTTCACCCTAATATGGGACCCAACTTTTTTTAAGCTCTCACCCCGGCTGTAGTCGGGAGCCCTAATTAATAATTTAACTTTAAGGTTGAAGGGGGTTCCTGGAACGTGTGCCTGGGCGATTCTCATCCCGAATTCTGGCGCTCTGTGTCACCGGGTGTTTGTCGCTCCTGCGGTCGTGGTGGGGTTGAACGACACTCTCACATCATCTGTGTATGTTTTACAATCCCCCCCCCCCCCCCCCACTTTTTTCCCCCCATGATTCCATCATATGAAATGGCCTAGCATTGCCCGTCACCAAGAGCCATGATAGGGACTCCTCCAGTGTTGATGCGATCAAAGAGATAGATCCAAATACTGTCCCACCTTTAGACGAAGTCGTATACCAGCGACCTGGTCGTCGATAACCCTCTGCGAAAGTACCCCGTAAATAAAAGTGCAAGCTAAGTTTAACTTACAGGTACAATGAATCTCAACTCACGGGGAGGCTCTGTTCAGGATTAGCGTTTCATGTAGTTGTATTGATACTTGTTTAGAGGCCATGTTCGGGTTTAATCGCTTGTGTACACAAATATGTACTCACTTTGATGGTCTGTACAGACTTCGCTGTCCATGTGCAGCAAAGGATACAGCAAAGGATATTCACCTTATTTTAATTAAATTATACGTTTAAAGCAATTGATGATTATACTTGAGGCTCTGTTTGGGTTGTTCGGGTATTGCGGTTGACATGATTTTAAATCAATAATTTAAAAACGAGTTACAGACGAATGGACGGGGATGTGGAATGGGAGCTTAAGGTGAAGGCATGCTTACACACTGAGGCTCCAACTAGAAAATGTCTTATAAGAAGTGAACTAAACATACCTTGCGATAAGAAATTACAGAGTCTGCAACCTGGAGTGGCTTACTTCAATATAGCAGAAGAACCTGTTCTGTATGTCAGGTACATGATGATATTGAACATGATTTACTTTACTGCATGCAATATGAATCCCAAAGGACTTCCCTTAAGAAATACACGGTCCGCTGTAATAAGCAGTCCAGGAGGCCTGTTGCAACTTTTGTATAACTACCAGCAGCGTGACAATAGAGGTGATGGCAGTAGGCGTATAGGGCATATAGGGCTAGACCTATTTTATAGAGCAATCGGCACAAGATGGGTGATGTTGTCAGCATCACGTCGGCCGCCTTTACTTCCCGATACCCACTCAAGCTAGGTCGACATGGGAGCCAAGGTCATTTTTGAAAAAAGTCCGGCTCCGCCAGGGAGCGAACCCACGACCTTCCTAGCCACGGCGACTTCCAAGTAAAAGTCCCTTTTCACGCCTTTAGGCGCATCGGGTATATGGGAAAAGCGCCCACATGCTTCAGACCATCGACACTAGGTGGGTAATGTGGTCAGCATTACGCCCGCCATCTCTACTTCCCCAAGACAGCCATCCTGGTATCTATTTTAGGCTGGGTCGACGATGGCGGTAAAACGAGCTTTCATGTGGCTAGCATTGGCACGGCTGACCTCACGTGTGAGATATTAAACCGGATGAAAAGTATATCAACGAGCTACACAATATAACAAACACATACAAAACGTGAACGTTGCGGCTATAGAGCCTTCGTCAGCTTACAGATAAATAAAAATAAATCACGGAAATGCCCTCAGGGCTGTCGTGTTAATTCTTGGCCGCGACCCACTGGTTGAAGAACAATGTTCTAGAGAAGGACGAATTAAACATTGCATTCCAAGAACAGGGATTAGCATACAAGATGTTCATATGAGACAGAACAATGGTATACCGGATCATTTTAAATATCAGTTTCCCAATGGTAACTGATGCTGATGGCACGTGGACTCATCGCGGCTCAGGTGTGACTGACGGAGCCGAGGTAGAGAGTTCAGCTTGTTGATTACAGCGTTAGTATGTCCTATGGTTAGTTTCGGTTTTAGGTATACGTTTTTTCCAGTAGTTAAACTATGTAGACTTGGATTATCAGTGTGTATTATCGCTCGAGAATTTTATCTGAATTCAAGTCGCTAGAGGAGAACTTCCACTTTTGTTAGCTGGGATACCTTACGCGTGGCCTCTGTAGATGTTGGGTGTTAATATTTTATTATTTGTGAACCACTGAGTTTTGTGTTCAGTAAAATAAACAGATGTTGAATGTGATGGTTTTGTTTATTTGTTTGATTCAAGACATAACTTGTAATCCGTGCATGTGGTTGACTGGGCCTTGCCTGCGAAATAATATGTAGTTGTAGTCAGTTGTTGTTGTGTAATACATTTATTCACAAATCCTTTTATATTTCATGGCCCCTGCACAGGAGAACTTTTGTCTTTTCTGTACTCTTATTGTTTATGCTGTTTAGCGAAGAACCACCTATTTGTCCTTTTCCTTTTTCTTTCCTCATCACGCCTACTTTTACTGATTTTCTTTTTTCCTTCTTCCTGCTAGCACATAAGGAAACTCCTAATTAGTCACTTGGTACAATATGGTTTTGCGGGAGGGAGCAGTGGGCCTATTATGCCCCCCCCCCCCCACCCACGGTATCCCGTCCCAGAACACACACGGAAAGAAAAGATTAATCAGATTACAAACGTTTGTACAATTGTAAATTACAAATAGACCAAATCCCATTTACTCCGCAGATCTCAGAACAACCGCTTTGTGTGTCTCCTTTCCTTCTTTCGCTGCTACTTGAATGTCTGATCACTTCGAGATTACAAAATCTCAATCTGGACGGAAAGTCAAGGGCGAATATTATATACCCCATTTAACCTCAAAAGAAGTTATAATTGGGGCACCCGTAAGGGCTAAATCGACCTGCTGTAGCTTTCAGTCCTGTGCAGGTAAGAAGTATGACCGTATCCCAGCGTGCAGAAGCGTTGCGGGCATACGTTCCCAAAATCTAGAATACAATATACTATTCTTGTCTGTGTTAAACAAACACAAAATCATACCAGAGTAAATTTTACCCCGCCAGGACATCATACAGAGCGATAAACACCCGCTGACACAAAGTAACATCATTCGGATGAGAATCACCCGTGGAGAGGTCACAGAAACCCCGTTCAACAGTTAACTTATATTAGGGCCGCTGGCAACAACTTTCAGCTTCAAAATAACGAAAAATTGCTTCCCACTTTGGGACAGCGGGTTTATAGTAGCATCACACCAGAGGCATGTCGTTCCCCAAATCTAGAGTATAATATACCATTCTTGTCTGTAAAAACATAACAGATCTGTAGGATTGTTCGACAACTGATCCCTCAGCCTATAGAATGTACCAGAAACGGTCACATGGAAACACTCGCCAAGGCCAGTCTCTTAAACATTAACAAAGTCATGTTTCCGCTCACGTGAAAATGTTGCTGAAACATGTCGAGTGGCTTTCACTTACGAAGGGAGGGAAATCCTGTTGTACACACCACCATCATTGAAGCTACTTGATGTACAAAGGAAGATAATCATGCTGCTTGTGTTGCCTCATGGAAGCCATACAAAGCATGGAAGCCAAACAAAGCATAGGCTTTTAAGGGAGTGTAGAAACAGCATAGCCTCGTTAAGTTAACACTTAGTTGTCTATCTCTTACAGGAAGTTGCAGAACCTATTCCAGCATGTTTCTGCTGTTGTGGTTTTCCTAAGTAAATTTACGTTCAGTAGTCTGCAATTGTTCTAAACCATCGGATCTCGATAACGATTGTCCAAATATTACATATCACCATAACTAGTTTCGACCTTTTTAGGACGAAATTTTTTGTCATTTGAAGCCCTACTCTGGCTTTTGCCAGGGGCCGCAATATAGGCAGGTCATACATATGGCCAAATGTCTGAACGCGGTTTCTGGGACCTCTCCACGGCGATCCTCATCCGCATGGTGGCACTTTGTGTCATCGGGTGTTTATCGCTTGTGTGATGTCCTAGTGGGGTAGAAAGTCAGTCAGTCATTGTCCAAACAAACGCAATGATGTCAGTTGTCAAAATTCCGTCCCCGTGTTGAATACATTTTTCGTTTCTTTTTAAAGCCCCATCCTGGTTGTTGTCGAGGGCCCTTATATAAACTAACGGTTAAACAGGGTTTCTAGGTCTCGGAAAATGAAATATTTTGACCATATCAAGCGCCACGATTGACTGGAAAGAATAGTAGCATAAGGAATGATACCACAAAAGAGGAAGTGGGGCCTAATAGTACGAAGATGAACACAGGAAGTTGACACCTTAGGCACTAACGAACGAACGAGGCAGGTAAAAAAAAAAAAGAAAAGGCGAGACATTGCTTCGATAAAGACTCCAGCAGGTATCTGAAGCCCAGAACAGTGGTAGACAAAGTGTTCCCTTCTAAGGGCTCTAGAACTAGGAAACTAAACCTATAACTAAGTCAATAACTATATAAGCAACAAGGAGCAACTTAATGAGTGGGACAGATAGAACTATAAAAATTAGATTTTTAAGAGCATGCATCTTTCCCATTGCAACAAACACCTGTGAGACCTGGACACTTACTAAACAAGCTGAACAGCGCATTAATGCCTTTGAATACAAATGTTATAAAGGGGTTCTAAGAATACCATAGTAGTGTATAAGTCGTTTACAGGTATTATTTGAGAAATCGATCTCTCTTTATCCTTAGTAAAAGATGGCGGCCAAAAGTGATTGGTTCTTTCTGGCGGGTTTATATATCCTTAGTAAATATCGATCGGGGCACCCGCCCTCTTTGTCCTTAGTAAATATCGATCGGGCGGTTGGTGACAGCACAAGTGACGGGTTTTCTCGGGCGGGGAAAGACATATGGTGCATAAATCGATATGTTGTCTCCATAGCAACTGGTTATTCATTGTCGGTATGTCGGTATGTGGGTATTTTTTTTTATTAGTTTCATAACGGCAGGTGACAGGTGGCGTTATATAAAGGGTGAGATCAGGGAGCCGTTTTAGACTTGCGATAAAGAAAACCTAGGAAGGCGACGTGGTGACCGGGGATATATTAGAAAGGGCAGTTTGGGCGCCAACATCATCATCATCTGTATCATGGTAGCGAAGGTCGACCGCTCATGGATGGTTTGAGCTGTAGTAAAAAAGGACGACAGAATGCTGGGTGTCTGGTAATACTGTGGAGGGTCGAAGAGAAGGGGCATAATTGGCAGACTATCTGACTTTGTAAATAAGTGGGCGAAGGTTCTGATTGGTCAGTAGGCTTCAGTGGTTACTGTGCTGGAACAGTCGATTTAGGAAAAACTCGGCAGTTGGTGTCGCTCAACGGGGTACGCCCGCCCGTACGCACGCACACACGCACGCCCGCGGGGGTCGTTTTAGGGGATAGATACAGAAACCTAGGAAAGTGGTTTGATGGTAGGGAGAAAGTGGGGCTGGGGCGCCATCATCATCATCATCCGCGTCGTCGTAAACTGTCCTTTTTCTTAGTAACGTTAAACCCTTCTTGGTTATTTTCTGTTTCGTAAATTAGAGACTAATAGATAGCTGTGGATAGCTGGCTGTACCTATATAAGGGGGATATATACATAACAAGTATACACTATTTATAACTAAGACAAAAATAACAACACAACAATATTTTGCGTTATATATTTTCTTTTATTCATAAAATTAAAAGTTGGCGTAGACATTTTCTCTTTGCAAGTGGCCAAGGAACCGAGTCATCTAGAGAGGCAGCAGGTCGGTTGTTCTCGACAGTCTCAATGTGTCAGATGACATGATCCGGTATATATTCGTCCGTGTTGGGGCTGTTCTCGTCAGCGTAGGGTTCTGTGATCCTAGGTGTAGGCGGGTAACAAGGAATGGTTAGCATCTCCAGTCGATCAAACTCCGTCAGGATCTCCGTCTTTAGTTCAAGTAGTTGTTCAAATTCTAGGCGACTTAGTGTCAGTCCTGTTTTGGTGGGAAATTTGAGATCTGCTTTACCAAAGAAACGTCTCAAGTGGAGTGCGGGTGTTCCTGTATAAAGCGAGACTGAAACAGCGTTCAAACCAGCACCCAAAGGTTTCACCACCTCGTCGCTCCTAGTCACATACACCCAACTGGTCGGGACTGTAGACATCTTCGGTAAGCGGATAACGGCGGCAATAAGATGACGGTTGCTGCTCAGGCTGTTTATAAACCCACAGTGAGCTTGTAGAACCGGTTTAAACTCGACATGTCCGGACTTGTTTCGATGATTAAGGGCGAAACGAGGCGCCAAACTATTCGATCGTTGACGTATTGTCTATATGAAGACGAAAACGGCTGTAAAACTCGGCGCAGGCGACCACCGCGGCATTTAATCAGAATAAAATAAATAACGTATAGTCCACAAGTACTGCTCTGTAAGTCTTGTAAGGTACGAGAGTTGTAACTGAAGGGTCTGGTCGAGTGGCGATCGATGAATCTTATAATTTCGGCGTGGAAGGGCGGGAGCCCGAGGGCGTCAAAATAAATAAAACGTCCGACGCCATCGTAGTACAGACCAAGCCAATGCGAACCCGGCTGGTCGCTACCATCTGTATTGATGACAAACGCCGCTGTCTTGTGACGGTTGAAATGTATAGGTAGTTGATCACGGGCCAATACTACTAGATGTGTTCGGCGGACAATGTGGTCAGCGAAGAGTATTTGACGTATCTGTTGCGTGTTCATGATCTTAGGCGTAGTCCAAAAGTACTTGTCGTGTCTTGGAAATTTCGAGTACAGAGTCTTGTTCAGCGTAGACTATAACTTGTAATGGTTCGGCTGTGAAGGTGGCGAACTTAAATTCTAAAGACAACGCCCCAGAGCGGGGCATCTCAAACTGGTCCCCATCCAACAGACTAGGTGAAAGGTCAAAGGCGTAGAGAGCGTACCCGTTCTTATAATGTCTGTATTCGATATCGTTACCGGCATCTTTACCCACCAGGCCCATAGCCAACATAGTGCCGAAAAAACGCTTTCACGTAGCGATTATTCTCATAGTCTGGTGTTAAGGGTTTACTGGAGACACTACGACCGTCGACACTCACGTTTAGATACGTTAATCCGAAGTGTTGGAAATCGAACGGGTTAGTCTTGTAGGAACCGTTAAAGGCTACAGAGTTTAATTAGTCCAATCACTAGTCTGGTAGGTGTCTGACTCAGAAAAAGATTGTCCTGGGTGTGAGACAACATTCCTTTGGGGATAGAAATGGTTTTCAGATTCACTCGTTTCAACGGATATTTGGCATTGGTCTTGGTTAAGGCTTTCTCATGGGCTAGAGAGATGGCTGGATTTAATTTGGCTTTTCGAACCATCAAGGTAGCGTGTGTTATAATAGACTTGTAACCAACCGTACCATCATGAGCTATAAGATTGAAGACGTCTTTAGAAGGTGTAAGTTTGATCTTGACATCTACGCCATTTAACAGGTAGCGGTCTTGGGCGAAAATGTCGGCGTGTAAACGTCCCATCATATCAATTTCTTGGCTATTGCTGGCTAGCTGTCGCCGTATTTTTAGGCCTTTATTACCAAGCTCTTGGGTGTCATCCATAAAACCCGCGGTATCGCTGAGGTACATGGCAGCAGAGAGAGGACCTTTCTTGGCGTCTTCACCATAATTCAGGGTGGCCTCAAGATATGATCTATAATGATAACTGTTTTCGCTAGGTGTAATCAGCGTATCATTGAGGGAAACGTCGACTTGAGAAAATAAACTGTGCAGGTAATAGTTGACGGGTGCCACAGCAGCATCTGGCGGTATACTATCGCCATTGCTTAAAGTGACTTTGGCTCTGACGTGTAAAAAAAGTATTGAAAAGATCCAAGTATTCTTCACTGTTTCCGGAGATGGCAAACTCTATAGGAGCTCCAGGAGCTAGCGACGCCAGTGGATGTATTTCCACAAACTGCCCCTCCTCAACCGCTGTTTGTGTTGGTGGTACGCTGAACAAATCCAAACCAGAGTGAAGACACTCACACGAACTAGGATGAATCAGAGACATTATCAAAGATATCTGAGTGCTTCTTCTTCCTCTGAGGCAGCTGATGTTTGTGAGAAGGACGAGATCGGGGTGATGCTTTAAACCTTTTACTCAGAGGCTCACCAGGTGGCGCTGCGCGGCGTCGACGAATCCCGCTTCCTGATTGGTTACCAGCCACGTGATCAACAGCTCCTTGAAGTAACCTCTTCCCCGCTTCCTTGGCATGTTCTCTAAACGCATCTCCGACATTCCGACCGGCTAAAGCATCTTGGGCAACTTGCAAACCCGTACCGACACCTTCTCTTAACAGGGCTTTACCGCCTGTCTTTAACCAAGGAAGAACCATGCGACCTAAACCGCTGAAGAAACTACCCAGACCTCGTCCACGTTGACTTCTTCCGCCGATAAATACCGGTAAGCCATGTCCTGCTTGTTGACAGTAAAAATCTTCGTAAATTTCAGGACTTCGAAGTAAGGGCACGTGTCTCACCATTATTCTAGATTGAAATGTTTCCGAGTTCTAAAATGTAACGTCACCACCGAAGAT